GCAGCCTCAAGATCAACTAGAACCCTTTAAAATACATTGGAGAGGTAGAGAGCACTCAGTAGTTAGTGTTAACAAGTCTCTGTGTGCAGCCCGCTGTGTGTTTTACTTTCATTCCGCCTTGACCTTATTTGCTTCATGATTTTCATTACTCGACGTGCAGTGTGCTCCCTTACTGTTGAAACTTTTAGGAAGATATAAAATACAAATAGCAGTAATCCTCAGGTGCATTGAGTGTGAAAGAGAAAAGGAGAGATGGACAAATTGTCTGTGTCTGTGCTGACTGTTCAAAGTCAAGTTGAGTAAAACATTTACTGTCGGGGAATTTAGGACAGAGTGGAAGAAAGAGAGGGGGAGGAAACTGTGTAAACCCAAGTAGAGGTGTAGGAATGTCAGCGGTGGACGACAGATCGTGCCCAAGTGTGAAGACAAATATTGCTTGAAACAGTACAATGTCACAGTCACATGTCTCACAGAAAACAGGACACCACACAAAAGTGATCACAACCAATGGTTTTATTTACAAGAACGTTTGTTACATAGTTACCACAGACTGTAAATGAGAAGTTGACGAAATCACCGTGACGTCACCCATTTGTTTTGGGACTACACTTTTCAATCCTTGAGTTTTGCATTTTGGACATCGCCATCTTGGTTTTTGGAACTTGCCATCTTGTTTTGTTTTTTTGCAAGTGATACCAGAGGGTGGAGCTAAGTACAACATAACGCTGAATAAGACATTTTTAGGCAAGACAAAAGGTTTTAATAGACTTTTATGAACTGAAAACACACTGTGAAAGGGTTAAAGTTGTAAACGGAACACACAGACAACTACCAGACCGGACAACGCTGTGGCAGCGAGGTCCCTTTTCAGAACCAGAGGTTGCCACCAGCTCAAACCGAAAAACCACAGCATTAACTTAATAAATTATGGCAGTTCTCTGTCGCCAGAAAACTGTCATAAGAATCTGTCTAAACATGCCTTCCATTTTGATCAGTGGCTGCTTTCAGTTAAATCCATCCTCAGGTTCAGGATTAGGATGAATCCCACCGTTGCATCTGGTTTGTCATACATCCAGGTTATGCCGTGCCCAGATTCAAGTTGAAAGATGCAGCATGATGACAGAGCTAATATAAAGTGGATCTGTGTTGAAATAAATTCATTGCTACCATGAGCACAACTCCCTGTGCATGCATTGAAGTGGTTAATTCAATATTATTATTATTATTGATAACAAATCGTGCTCATTGCTTTAACTGAATAGATTTCTTAACATTTAAAGTTGCATTAGTTGAGGGGCAGCAGACAAATACTGAGATATTATCACCTTTTAATGTTTTGGCTGATGTGTTAGCAAACAGTTACCTATTTTAACATCCAGCAGGCACAGAGCAACATTAGCACTCATTTAGAATCATGTTTCTGGCCACCTGAAGACCAACATTTGGCTCTTTTATGGTCTTCACCAGTTTCGGAGGAAAATACCAGGCTTTTTACGTGCTTTACTATGTTTACCTGCTAGTTGCACACCATGTCTATCTGCTTTGGTGATGGCAGTGGATTTATCAGAATTCTTTAGCTTAACAGCTGCCTGCTGAGTCTGGAAATCAGGTTGATGAGAGTACTGAGAAAGTGAACTAAAACACTAATGACTGTCGATCTAAAACAGTAAACTGAAAGATGCTAAAACCCTCGGTAAAGTTGATTTAGTGATAAGCCTCTGTACGTTCACCACTACAGGTGATCCTTTCCACATTGTCATTTGATCCGTTGTTAAATACATCCATTAGTGCAGTTTTAAATACACTTATGATGGAATTAAAATATTGATATTCTGAGTTCAAAGTGTATATGTGTATTTTCTGGTTGGACACGCATTACATGAAAACTTTATGCTGAATACATAACTCTATTGTCCTTGGCATCTTAACAAATTCAACAAGTTTTGACCTAAAGAAGATAAAAGCAGTGGGCAGTGGAGAGGATTGTTGGGAGAAACAAAGAGACATTTTAAACACAACAGACAAGTGTGTGAATGCACAATGAGCATGAGGAGGGCATAGCACTAGCACTCATTTATGAGTTTATTCAGTCTCAAAACATGTCACAATTTTTATCAGTGTAGAATTATGGATATTCGAGGAAGTTTATCTGATGTATGGGAGGTTCTTGAAATAAGCTATCTACGTACGTCACTTGTCATTCCATTCCACATCATCAGATTTCTACAGATTCCAACTGTCTGTGGTAAAACAAGTACGGGCAAGTGAGGAAGATAGTAAACAGTGACAGGAAATGGTTCTTTAATTTTGGTTTCATTCATGACAGCTGATAATCATAAAAGCAATGACGCATGTAATTACAGGATGCATGATATTTTACCCACTTATGTATTTCCAATGAAACAGGAAAAACCTTGAGAACGTTGAATCAAAAACAATCTCTGCACAAATAATGTATATCAGTATATGTGTATATATATATATATACATGTATATAAAAATGTGTGTGTGTGTGTGTGTGTGTGAGAGAGAAATGTCTGAATCACGTTGTGGGAACAAACAGCTATACAGTCACAATACAGGGACTCACCTCCCATGTGGGGACAAAAGGTATTTATAAAAAACCTCCTGAACTGTCTGTGCTTCTCTGGAAATATTGTGTAAGGAAAAAAAACAACCTCCTGAGCTGTCCTTGCCTGTCTGGAAATATTGGGTAAGTTGGTACTTTTAACCATCTTCCTCTTCTTATCTATCTCTCCGTCTTCTCCTTTCCTCTTCTTGCTGCCTCATGACCGGCTCAAACCTCTGTCTGAAAGCCCCTCTCTCTGAGTGACAGCAGTGAGCTTATTAATGTGTGTGTAGTATGTGTGAGTCCTTGCCAGTGTGGGTATGTTTGTGAGGTTCTGTGTTTTGGTGCTAAATTGTGTGTGTATGTGTGTTTATGTGAACTGACAGCAGACTTTGAGTAGAACTGGACAGCCCGTCTGTTGTTGATAGGACAGTTACTCCCCTGACAGTTCCTGAAGGGGGGTGCTGATAGAACAAGCCGTCTGAGTGACCTTGTTCCAACCAAAAAGCCCGGCGAAAAATAACTTCTTGGAACTGTGACACCCTGGCTGGTCCGTGTGATTTACAGGCATATAGACCAAATGCAGAACTACTTATTAGTCATGGTGTGTGCTTCCTTGCAATAACAGTTCTTTGGAACACATCGTGTCTTGAAGGGTGGTAGCGAACAGTTGATGTTAATTGATAGCAAAACAACAAGGCTGTCAATCATAACTCTGATGATGCTTCACATCTAAAGTAAAGACGTATCGTTGTTTGTGCTCTCAAGAAAGGTACAATTAAAACCACATATTTCAAGTCGGAGAGGCGTGGTTTGCATCCAAATGTTACTGACGCAATGGACATGTTGCCACATGATCTCTGCATTTGGCACTGGTTGGTTTCATTAACAAATACAGGACCTAAAGAGTAACGTAGAGCGCATGCAAGCCTGTGTATCTGTGTTTGCACACGTGTGCCTATTTTTGCAGCAAAAGACTGTTTAATACCTGTGTCACCCCGGATGCAGCGCAATTAAAATCCAATACGCTCCAGGAATCCATAACATGCTGGGTTTACTGACAGCGAACAGAGCTCAAATAGCCAACAGAGAAGGGGCGAGGGGTTTTTATTTGAAGAGCACAGCTACAAAATGATGGAAAATATGATCACAGAGGTTGCACTGCCGGCAAATGTGAACAACTTTTAGATGCACTGACAGGCAGCTGCTGTGAAAATTGCTGTCAGTTCAGCTTCACAGATATTGAAAAGATATACACAGACGGACATTCTTTGGAGGGAAATCATGCAGTTTTCATGCAGAAGCAATGACACATGGATGGTGTTACAAGGTGACACAAATACTTGCTTAAACATATCATTCAAGTGTAGTGTCTGTAAATGACAGTGGAGCTGCAAAGAGAGCATATGCAGAGATGAAGTCTATAAGGGCCACATGGAATGGTTTGGGATAAGATTTTTAAAAAGCAGTTTCCCAATCCTTAATCTCTAAGCATGGAAGCACAGTGGCAGTTGTCTTGGTTCAACTCCTGTTGGCAGAATTCAGTTAACATTGATCATTTAAACCACACTTCCATAAATGGTGCAGTTAACTGCTTCTGTGATTGACATGTGTTCCTGTGTGAAGATGTGCGGACACCAGAAAAAGAACCCATAAGCATGGTGATTTGCACGGCAAAGGAGTGCATGTTTAGATGTCTGTAGGTTCAATTTCATAATTATGTATAGCAGCCTATATATCCAGTTAATATTTCTTATAACCTGGTGTAACCTTTCCAACCACGGTGATGGGGATTTAATGCTGTGCTGCATGCTTAGCTGGTTACTTTCAACCTTTAAAATTCTAACACACTGATCTCGCTGCATAGCGTCGAACTGGCCGTACACTGTATGCAGCACTGTTGGACCTGACAGTCATATATGTGCTTCAATCAGGGGTTTAAATTATTTTGTTTTAAGTGACAGTGGTTCCCAAAGTGGAGTCCAAGGACCTTCAAGTGAACATTAAGACCATCTCGCACGGTGTGGATCATATGCATGACCCTTAACTTGGTGCAACTTTCTTACTAAGGAAATGGTTGTATTTAAAAATGTTTCAGAAATGACTGTATGCAATAATGCTGTTGGACAACTACAACTCACTACAGTGTTCATATCAATTATCTGTTAACAGGGGTTTTGCTGTATACGCTTAATATCCATAAAGTGCATTGGTTTTTACAAGCTATTGACAATTCTGTGAGTAACCGCAATACATCTCTTCATCACACTCTTCATCTGAACCTGCGCCCGGAGTGCCGCCAATAGGGTCACTTCTAAACGCCGCCCTGATGGAAAGGGCAACGACTCGGACGGGGAACTTCAGAGGGTTGCTTCACTGCCTCACTATATGTCATTGGCTGTATAAATATGGGATCTCGCCCCTGAGGATCACACTTGACCAATTGCACCGCGCAAGAGTCTGATGGGTCGTTTGAATTCAGCGATCCTCCGTGGGTAGGCAGTTTTAGTGAAGGGTCTGTGCGCGCGTGTGTGTTTGTGTGAATGTGCACTCGTAGAATATAATGCCAAAGAAAGAAGAAGAATAAGGAGAGGGGGGTGAGAGAGAGAGAGAGAGGGAGAGAGGGAGAGGCGGGATCCGTTTGCGCCTTGTTGAAATCCAGGGTGAAGCACAAACAATAATCTGGAACAGATCGATCAGCACTTCGCCCCCGCTTTTTGTATTTGATGGATCAGTGGATGTGATGCCCATATATATCATCGACCGAAAATTTCCCGACACATCTGGTAAGTCGCTCACTCACCCCGAGCGCTTCTTTTTCAACGCGGTGCCATTTGTGTGAGTCTCCGTCTGTCTGCGTGTGCGCGCGCGCGTGAGCGAGTGCATTATTTTTGCCTGTGCTCGCGTGCCGGCTGGGTGACACGGGGCAGCATACACCAGTTGATCATGCCACCCCCTTGGAATTCCCAACGTGCAACAGGAGATGAGGATCTGGCGTCTTGCTCACCGTGTGTTCTGCAGCTGAATATTTGTATCACTGGAGTTTTAACACCTATTGCATTTGGTGCTATCAGAAAACATCTCAGTCTGCTGTCATAGAATCACAGCTGGGTGTCCAAGCTTACTTTGTGGTTTTGGTTGACTGTATAGCAGCTGTAAGTGCTATATCTCTTTATTTTTCCTGTTTCATTCATACTGCTATCACTACCATTAAGCAATTTAAGAGGTGGACTTCATTCCAGCTAGTTCACAGCACCTTTGGGTATCAAGTCTTTTAAAAGTGATTTCAGTCTGCAGTGTGCAGCTGGGCCCAGTGCTGAAAGTCATATCCCAGAGAAGGTGTTATTTTAAGTTAAATAGGCCACATTCCTGTACTTATTCAAACTCAATTAAGTACATGACATGTTAATGGCTCTCAGAGATATAGGTTGTTCAAAAGTGACTTTGCACAAGCAGTGTGTGTACTTGTGTGTGTGTGTGTGCATGCAGACGAATGGGTGTTTTCAGGCGTCTTAGTGAATGATGGGTTTAATTTTGAAGGGGGTTTGTGAGGTCCCACAAGACATGGGGACTGTTTATGTTTCAGATATATCATGACTGACAAAAACAAAAAAAAAGTAAGAGAGAGTTTTTACACATACCTTCCAAAACACACTGAAGACTAATCATCAGAGCCACATGGAGACAAGTATAACCAGTGACTGCGTCGTGCAACAGGAGCAGTCACACCAGCAGCAGAAATGACAGCTCAATTTACAAATAACTCATGCACTCATATTAGGCCTTCTTCTCTCATGGAGCAAACATCCTTAAAGCTATCAGGTGCTGTGGTTGTACTACACTAACAAGTTCCTTAATCCACCCATAAAGCATTATATAAGGGTGATGCGTGCATGTACAGTTCGAGCTCCTTTAGATTCATATCTAACATGCCCTCAGCTCACTTACACATGATTTAGTACCTTTCTGTGTCAAGTGTCCATCTCTGTTTTTACGTCTCTCCCTCATTTTTGCACATTTCTTTACTCTGTGTTTATGTTCCTTATCCTTTTCAATACATTTCACAGACGTTTTCATTTCTTGCCATGAAACTTGTCAGTATTAACATAAATGAATATAATACACCTCTCCAAAGCTTACATGCACAAATGGTTTTATTAGAGCTGGGGGACTGCTGCCACTGCGAAGTGTGTGCTTGGCAAAGTGTCTGCCCCCTCCTGCAGCCAACCAGAGGCAGGTTGACAGGAAGTTGAGATGAACACATCAACTTGTGTCATTCCACTGTCCTGTCTCCTGTTTTTAGGCTTTCGATTATTCATTTTCTGCCCATATTTTTAGTTGCCTTTATGCCTGTCATAGAATCACATCGTTCCCACACAAACACTGCAAAAGGAACGATATCCATTACATGCAGGGCCACCACTGACCTACAGTAAATCTTATGATCCAGAGGGACATCATGCATGCTGTAGCCTATAGTGTAGCCTATAGTGCTGGTGTGGAGTTGGGAAAGCAGCCTGTTGGGATCTGAACAGTAAAGGCAAATGACACGCCTGAATAGTGACTGTAGTTTACTTCACACTGGGCAATTGTTTAGTCACGAAGAACAATGATAGAGGATTTGACATTCAGCAGGTCTGTGGTTATTACAGTAGGTGACGTGTGCCTGTGGCTGTCTACTCGTTCAAAGGAAGCTAACAGACTTTGTCCTTTGGTTGGGCGGCGCTCTCATCTCAGCCAGCATGCAGAGAGACCCACCCATCTGCACATTATGCCTCATGACACCAGCTTGTAAAAGTGTGTGTGAGAGCATGGCTGTGGATGTGTGCGTGCCGTAATTGCACAAGTGTGTGTGTGCGTGTGTGTGTGCCTTCAGTAAGGGATTAAGGATTAATTGCCTTCAGAGATAGACTTAACTGCTTGTTCCATGAACTTTGTAAAGTTCTCACTTGGTCCCAGAGAGGAAAACAACAGTGAGGAGCAGAGGGAAGGTCTCTCTTGCTTTCCATTCTTCAGAAGTGTGTGTTTCTTGTTTTTGTCTGGAGTGTACTGCCACTAGAGGGTAAGAACTTCCATTGTTCTTGCCTTTTGCTCAAATACGGGTTCAAAAAATACTGTTTGTCTTTGGTTTTTTTTTTTTTTTATCTTATTTGCTTTATTTTATCTCGCTTTCACTCTTTTCCTTTTCTTTTTTCAGCTTGTGTCTGAAAAGTCTGAAGATTTAACTGAACGTTTGCCTTATCAATGTCAAAATGTCTATATTTTAATTAAAAATGGTATGTTGCAAAAGTAGTAATATCCTCACATTTGAGAAGTGTTTGGCATTTTTTGTTGATGGCTTCAAAGATGAATTGATTTTTAGATTTTGAAATGATTCTGAAACGATGAAAATGTGTTGCTGACAAATTCTTTAGTTCATGTTTGGTTCATGAATTACACTTGTATTTGTTTTTTCACCAAACTTCTATGTTATCTATGTGTTATTGTCTTCTGTTTAGGGCTGCAACTAATGATTATTTTCATTATCAGTGAATTTATTATTACTATTTTTCAATTAATCCATTGATCAATTGATAAAATGTCGGAAAAAAAAGTAAAAAAAAGAGCCGAAGGATAAATCTTCAAATATATTGTTTTGTCCAACCTAGCTACAGTCCAAAACCCCCCAAATACTCAGTTTACAATTATATACAGCAGAGAAGCAGCACATTCTCACATCTAAGTGTTTGGCATGATTGCTTGGTGAATGCCGAATAATTGGTAATCATAATTGTTGCTGACCAGTCGACAAATGGTTTCAGCTCTACCTCTGTGGTTCTCCCTCTCTCAGGTGAGTTGAAACAGCTGGCAGCTGAAGGAGGAGACCTGAGAATGACGGAGAGCAACCCCCCCAAGTCGGCTAAGAAGCCCCGCTGGACCTCCCTGGAGGTCGGCCTCATTACTATCGTCTCCTTGCTCTTCATCGTCATCGTCGCCCTCGTCATCCTCTTTGCCACACAGAAGACTGGTGAGTTTTGAGGAGATAGCAGAGGACAGATATATGTAAACCCGAGTGGTTCCTCGATAAACAGACTTATGTTAACAAAAATGTAGGAAACATGAGAAACAAAATGTCATGCAATCAAAAACTTTTATGTCGGGAGCCATTCAGCTTAGAGGACACTCTTTGTTTTTCTGGTCACCGCAATATTAAGTGAGACTTTCAGCTGAGTTCATGGTTAATGGCAAGCACAAAGGAGCGTGCTTGAGAGCAGCATTTTGTTCAGGTGAACTGAAGACACTTGAGCTGTGTGCTTTTAAAGCATAATCCAAAAGTACAACCACTGAGCCAGAAAGAAGAATGCAGTGTGCAAAGGTCCTTTCCTTTCTGTTTAGGCATTTTCAAACAATCATGTATACCTCAAAACATTGAGCTTATTCAAAATGTAGACGTTTGTGTAAATTATGAATAATGATGTATCTAATATCTTGCTGTAAATGTCATCAATTCAAGTGGATCATTTAAATGAAAACAGTGAGCTCAAACAGACAACCCCACCAATCTTTCCTTACTTTGGGAAACCAATCGAACCTGCTTCATTCAGATCAATTTCACAATAAGAGTATCACATGGGTTTTTTAATTGTTAATATCCTGACCTTGCTGGCTTTTCCCACTTGTATATAAAAATGTGTTAAACTTGTACTGACACAAAGTCTTTGTTAGGTAACTGATGATTTATTAATCATTAGTAAGTCCAAGGATGATGGATCACCGAGATGTGGTACAAGAAAAGCTATCTACTTGTATGACATTGAAAGGTAGTAAACCGCTTATTAATAGATCTACATATTCATTATTGACAAAAGGAACAACTTGTAAGTTCAGCAGGTCAAAAACCTGTCAAAAAAGCCAACCAAATGTAATCTCATGATGCATACAACATTGGTCGTCCTATTTTTGTGTGTGTGTTGCGCTATTATTATCTTCTGCAATCTTGTGGTTGATAAATCTGTAAACTGCCATGTCAGTAAAATGAGAACGTCTAATGACTATGTTTGTACGTGTGTGCACTCAACTGTGTGCACACACATTCACATGGAACACATGAAGCAATGTATTTATGGTCAAATGACAGCTCACTGGTGTGTGTGTGTGTGTGTGTGAATTTGATGAACAGTTTAGCACCTAAATGATTCCAGACAGAATGAAAGCCACACTTCTAAGTAGTTCAGGGTTATACGTGTGAGAAAGATGAGATGCGGATAATATGAAGTACAAGGCTAAAATTAGATGAGAGAGATGAGATGAGAGAGTGAGCATTTGACGTGATGACGGATGACTGCAAAAATCCCACTGAATAATGATTTGTTTTGCATTTTCCTACAGATGAAATCTGCACATCAGCTGACTGCACGCAGTCAGGTGAGCATTGTGTCTGTTGTTTGTTTGTTTTTTTGTATGTTCCCTTTATTGTCTCATTCTGAGGGCTTTACTTTTTCCCAGAGGGGGAAAGATTGCGGAAATTGAGACTGCTGCAGAGACCCAAAGGATTTAATAGCCACTTCAATTGTGAATATTTTGCCACTAAGTCAAAACAGTAATCAAACAGGAACAGTCCTGATCAGCAGAAACATGTTGCAAAGGGTTATTGTTCTCGGATCAACAATTGTACAGGAGAAGTTGTGAAACTGGTAATGTGTATAAGCATGTATGTACAGCTTATATGTGTGCAGCGTGTGTCCAAAACTGAAATATTTCAACACATCCAAGCTCTTATAACTTGACCACATGACCCCAGTAATGCTGCTGAAACCTTTTTGTATCACACAAACCCATTTTCAAATAATTTCAAAGTCTCTTATAGCATTCCAGTATATTGTCCTAACACTTCTTTTATTAATCCTTTATGCAACAACCTCTTAAATATCTTTTTTTCCCCACTTCAGTAGATATTGTTCATAGGACAACAGTTTATTTTTCATAAAAACCACTACCATAGTAAATCAAAGATATATAATTCTTCCTCTAGTTTCCAGCAACAGACGACCAATCATTTGCGATGCATTTTGTCCCAATTCAGTCAGATTTGACAGACAGACTTGTCACTAGAGATCTGTCAGCTGCCTCATGTAATTTAATTGCAGCTCAAGAAAGTTCACACATTTCTAGGACTGGTGCCAAACTTAACCCAATCAGTGCCATGATACTGTTTTACTTTTGCAAATGGCTGCATATTTTTGCAACTTTTTTTTCACAGGTCTATGTATGATATTTTAAGGTGTTTAGATTTTTGTATGGGTTTTTGGGTAAATATCGCTCACTACAAGAAGAGCATGAAACATATTTGTAAGCATCCAAGATTGAAAGTGGTCCGATGAGAACATTGATTCCACTCTAACATCTGTCCATTCACTGTAAAGGCTTCATCCAGCAGCTACTTTTAATGGCTCAGCTCAACGATCAGAAACAGGTATTTGTAGTTTAAAAGCGGAAGTGTAAAACCAACACATTGTGGTTTATGTGCTGGGCTGGACAGGCACAATGACCTCCGCTAAGGAAAGCTTAGTGAGCATTACAGTTGCTGGTAGGTGGATTTTGGTACCGTTAGTCAGAACTTGTTAGCATCCCTTGTGTTCCCAGTGTTTATGCTCAGCTAAGTTAACCAACTATTGACTGTAGCCTTATACTGAACTCTCCAAAATAAAACAAAAAAGCATATTTCCCAACTTTTTGATTTCGCATCATTCTCCTTTACCCTGCAGTATATTGAAGTCTTTTTAGGAAAGCATTTCCTCTAATTCTCAGGGCTTGTTTCCTCTCTGTCCTTGCAGCTTCTCGCCTCATTGCGAACATGGATGCCAGCGTGGACCCTTGTGACAACTTCTACCAGTACGCCTGTGGGGGCTGGCTGAAAAAGAACATCATCCCTGAGACCAGCTCTAGATACAGCACCTTTGACATCTTAAGAGACGAGATGGAAGTCATTCTCAAAGGTCAGACACCTACTCGCACACCCACTCACACAAACAAATTAAGATCCACATACAGAAAGGCCGTAACACATACAGGCAAGGGTACTCATTTGTGAGTATTGATACTGTGTTTAGTCCATGGTTAAGAGTTTTAAAGCTAGACTAGTAAGTCCTCTTGCATTGTAAGAGGACGGACAACAGCTTGATTATGTTCCTTGAGAATCCGAGCTAAAGAGGACTGTCCTACAGGGACTGCAGTGCTATAGATATCACGGATGCCATGAGTTTGGCTTCAGTAACACCATGTGAGTGGATAATTTGTCAACAGAACTGGCATTATCAGTGTGTGTGTGTTGCTTTCAAGCTGTTTTCTAAAGACGTCAACTAGGCTGTGAGAAACAATCTGCATTGCAAGTTTGTATGTGCGTGTGTGTCTCATGTGTTTTGCCAGCTTTCAGCAAACATTAGAGCCTTGTTAGTGTTATTTTGGCATGGTTGATATAGAAAGGGTCACGTTACACTGTATACGCGAGAGCGCTAGTGGATTTGTTTGTGCGCGCCAGGGTCCATACTTCACTTCGACTTGTCTCTGAGAAGGCCAGTCGAGTCCTGAGCAGTGGGTGCTAAATCTTCGAGGCTCACAAACCTTTCCACGGACAACTGAAACTCTTCTTCCACCGTAAATTTACAATTTATATGCCGGTGCCTTTCACTATGAAAATGACTGCAGGAGAAATGGAGTGATTTAGAGGGTTGAGAAAGATGGATCCTTAGTGGGAAGTAAAAACCATGGGTTTAAAGTTCAGCCCGTCTTGTGGACTCAGATCATTTTTACCAGCACAAGCACTTTATCTGTCCAATCTAGATGTAAAAACACACCGTTGTGTCTTGGGACAGCACTTTTTTTTTTTGCCATCTGGCCTGTGATGACAACTTCATAAGGATAAAACTGAATGTGGGGGGTAATGGCTAGATGTCTTTATTCAATCCAAAATTAGATATGCATGATATTTAGTCTTAATTGATCATACCACATTATTGTTTGAAAGGATAGTGCTGCATATGAAATGCTATTTTCTTTCTTTCTGTACTGACAGCTACAGATCAATATTACATTCATCAGGTTTTAGAAATTGCATTTAATGGTCAGTATTCATGTGTTTACCTTTTCTTTCGAAGTTGCTTGTAATGGCAAAAGTGCATCTTCATTCCCTCTGCGTAGTCTAATTATAAAAGTGGGCTATTGAAACTCTGGCTCTTTTTCCTTCACAATTATTTGCTTGAACATGAGCTTCTATGTGATTCAGAGAGCTCTAATTAGATTTCTAACAAACATGACATGTCGGTGTGCAGGTTGCTGGAAAAAATCATGTAGGCAACTATAGGAGTTTTTGGTGTATTGTACGTTGCCAACAACTTATAGCCTGTTTTGTTCTGCTTTGCTCTCTTCTGCTCTCTTCTACATGGCTTAACACCCATAAAAATCACACACAGGGGGGAAAAAGGAAAGTAAACATTGCTCAAAATGGGTTCATTTTTGGCATTGTGTTACTGTATGTGCATTTACGTACATAGCACGTCTCCGTGTAAATGTGTGGCGTCATTTCACACTTTGTTGTACTCGTACTACAACTAAGCAGATGTATCAGCGGTCTGAAAGCAGGGATAGAGATATAAAAATGCACTTCTGCAACTAATGATGAAATATTGGACAAAGTGCAAAGGTTTAAGTTTTAAAATCGTTGACTTAAGTGATCTAAATTCTGCATTTACCGCAGAAAGGAATGGAGCAGCTAAAGAACTGGTCTTAATCATTCAACAGCTTAAATCTCCCCACCAACCGTTGTACTGTGTTCACACATGTTCAGGTTGAATTTGTGTGTTCGGGTCTGTGTGTGTTTTAGAGAGAAATAAAAAGGGAATGCTGGGTATCTAAGATCATACTTGATATTTCTGACCAAGGTACGTGTGCATTCTGTTTTCTTGAACATGTGCAGTAGCAACGAGACATACTAGCTGTCAGAATACATTTTTTTCTTAATGACTTGTGCGAGGCCTCAGTAGAGCTGTGACCTCGACTGTGGATGTGACATCAAACATGCGACCTCTGATCTCGGGATTCGCTGCTGCCACCTGCTTGGATACCACTGCCCGCTGACAAGCGGATCCTTTTTCCTGTCAACAGCTCCAGGGGCCTGGAAACACCTGGACTCTGCAGCGCTCTAGGCTGCAAGACGGCAATAAAAAAGGCTGCGTGCATGTGTATGTGTGTGGTTGCTTGTAAATGCCTCGGATTGTTCTCTGCTGCTGTAGGCCATAAATGATTCATAATGAGGACACCGATTGTGACCACAGCTTTGTGTGTGCATGTGTTTGTACGCGCCCGTGTGAGCTTGTTTTTCCACCTGCCCCTACTCAGGTGTGGCATACTGTGCAAATAATTTACCCAATTGACTGAGAAAATTTTAATTACTAGCTAGTTTGTGTCAGGAAGGGGAAGGGAAGAAGGACAACAGACAAAAAAGAGGGAAAGTAAGGATTTTTCAAGACTTCAATACTGAGGGGAAATGAAGGACAAAAAAAGAGTGATAAAATAAAATAAAGTTGAGAAACTACACACAAGGTGCTTTGAGGGGAGGTGAGGAAGAGCTCTGTAGCCAGGAGGATAGGTCACGAAATGTGAAACAGCATGTGAAAGTAATCTCCAAGCTCTAAGCTCTATGTGTGGACATCCATCCGTGCTTGAGCATGTGCGTGTGAGCACACTGCATCTCTTCTGTATTACACAAGGTGCTTCTGACTCCAGGTCTAAATCTCATTGAACAGAGAAAATTCTCGCTGGAGGCATGCAGCACAGGAACCAGCTTATGTTTCTTATAGAATTTGGCATCACCAAGAGCATCAAAGCATGTCTGTGAGCTGGCTGTGGCGATAGAATAGTGGTTGGATGTGAGCTGTTTGTCTGGCATACAGCTAACAGTCAGAGACAGAATGTCTGTGTGTTTCCTGTGATAACAATAACTGAAACAAAACTTGTGTCAAACAATACAGACTGCAATAGGACTTTTTCGCGATAAAAGGTTTATTCACATGACCTTCAAAATTCCAGTCAGAACCATTGCACAACACCATTAATCCTGTATTTCTCATCAACATATCAAATAAGGAAAGCAGACCTGAAAGCAGACCTTTGTGGCCAAGTAAAATAATATGACTATCAATGCGGCAATTCTTGGCCAACAAAAATAAATTGAATAAAAGATCCTGAATTGAATATGTTTTCTTGTCAGCAAGGATTATGATTAACAGGAAAGAGCTTAGACTTCCATCAGGGTAAAGATCTGGCCTGTTAGCTGTTTCTCAGCCAATACTGGGTATTTATACTTTGACTGAAACCATGTTACTGAGCCAATGGCATAGTTAGTATATGGTGTGTGTAGATCCAATGTCCAATGTTTGGCTTGGTGACAGGGTCAGTGGGTGTTGTTGCTGAAAGCTTATACATTTCCCACAGGACACTGTTGAGCAGGAATACTGTTTTCAGCAACCACTGTAATTATGTCAGCTGACACCATAGTTGCAAAGTGGGATTGAACTGGTTTGTTCCCTTTTTTCTTACAATATATATATATATACACAGTATGTATATGAACCTCAATCAAGTAGTTTGAGTGAGTTTCTATTGGGCTGTTTTACTGGTTTGAATGGCAATTTAAACTTGTTCTCTGTTCTTTCGTCAAATTTGTTTCCTCTCAATGCAGTTTTTGTTTTGTCGTTTATGTTTTTATACCACACAAAGAGCAGTAAACAGCTCTGCTGTTGCAGATTGAGACTAATCACTTGCATGAAGTGTCAACTCATTTCAGTCTCAACTTCATTTAAGGTTTCTGCATGTAATATAGTAAAATGATGATAAATTAGAAGCAGAACTCTCGTAGGAAAAATACTGCAAGTGAAATGCCATTTGGAACTAGAAGCAGTCAAGGATAAAATGGCAATGCAGAGAGAAGAAACTCCAACTTCGGATTCCATATCATGCTGAGTGGTTTGGCTCAAATTGATGTGATGTCTCAAACAAACATCAGGTGGCACAAAATCCATTCTCAAATAAATCCAAACACGCACACATGGGGCGAGAGAGAGAGAGAGAGAGAGAGAGAGAGAGAGAGAGAGAGATAGGTTCAGCCTCTGCTGTGGTTAAACATTAGCACCAGGCAGTCGGTAATCCAATCATACACACATGATCTGTGCCCTTTTGCAGGAAGCGCCCTGTGGAGGGTCCCTATCTCAGAACTTCATTAAGATTAAATGAGCACATAAATAGTGCACACATGGTAATGAGAAAATGGAGGGATTAGAAAAATGAAAGGATAGAAAGAGGCAGAAGTGAAAGTCAGTCATGCAATGAGTGAAACAAGTAGACGTAAGGGATATGAATGACTCAAAGCACTGAGCAAATGAGAATAGTTGAAAAAGATTATGATTAAATATGGAGTTCAATTTGGAATAACTTGGGGCTGCTAAGTTGAATGAGACTGGATATTTAATAAATTCTGCAATAACAAAAGGTGTTTTGAAGACACGATGATCTGATGCGACATTAAATGAAATTGGAGCTGAAAGTTAGGGATAAACCTTGTTTTAAATATGCATTATCTAACAGTCTTTGTTGTGATTGGGCCTGACGTTATCTCCTGAAAATTACAAAGAAAGAAAAAAAAAATCTAATTTTCCTCATTTTTATCTTTTGATCCCGACTCACTGTGACATGAGTGATGGACTCAGGGGAGAGTTTGTTGCAGTTGGCTGTGTAATTCAAGATCCATCCTCTTTCCTGTATTGATCTTGGCATTGCATTGATATGTGCTGTTGGATGGTGTATATCTGTGGATCCTGATGCAACATTCATAGGAGTTAACTTTATCTGTCTCCAGAAGTACTGAAACCATGAGTTTGTGATAAAATCAAAGTCAAAAGGTTTTCCTACTTTCACGATACCCCTTTACAGTGTTTCCTTTTAATTGGTAATGATATTTAAAGTTCATGATCTTCAGAAATACTTGATGATACCATGAAATCTGCCTACAAGCACTTCTAAATCTCTCTACTTTTATCTTGTTTGTTTAATCTGAACAGTATCTGATCATCATGTAATGCGAGGTTATAGACCTAGACCTATTATATATATATTTTTTTTAGTTGTGTATGTACTTATTTTATACAAAGTGTTTTCAACAAAGTTCAAACCCAAAGAAATCTGTAATTCTATTAAAGGTAAAACTGCAATGACATTGCAAACTGCAGTGGTTAGTCACTCTATTGGTAACCATTGTTTGTACTGCTCACCAGTGATGATTAATTCAACGAATATGCTGCGCATTCTGTCGCTGAAGCTGTCCACATTTAGCTACAGAAGCTGTTTGAGTAGTTGACTCATAATGGTAGGCTAAGTTATCTGACTTAGGTAGTTAATTAACATTACTTGCGGCTGTTTCATTAGAATAAAATGACGTAACGTCAATAAACGTAACGTGAATAAAACTTGAAAACATCATCTTGTCCTTGAACATGATTTCTAAATCACGATTGATTTTGCACCGATTGACTGAAGTTGAGCTAAAGCTTCAGGTACTCATGGAGTGGGTGTGAAGATTTCACCTAAGGGCACAACATTTTGGAACACTATCACAACAAAACACTCGCATTCACCATGGTGGTTTTTAGCAAATACCGAAATTACCATGTGGGTTGAATCTTGATGATCACTCACTCTAATGATCGGTGCTGCTGAAAAGTGTCAGCGCATCCTGAAGGAATGGTTACTTTTTAAAGTTACAATATGCAACTTTGTGCCTTGGGTTACAGCAGGAACAGTGTATTGTTGGTCCCACTCTCCTCCCCCTCAGTTGAGTACGTTTACATACGTATCACTCATTTTGATTAGCTGTCTACCTAGAAACTCTAGCCTGAGGCTGAGCTACTGGCGTTCATGCCCACAACAGGTGTTGAAGAGGCGATGAACGCAGGCAATAAAACAAGCAATGGTGTTCACTCTTGTTTTCAAATGGCCTTTTACTGCCACACCTTCAGCTTTGCTGCATCCTGATTTGGTTCCAGCTTCTTATTTTTGTCGTGACATCCCTGCTCTGAGGTCACATGGCCTCACCTCGATCACATGCTGAGAATTCATTTTATAGCAACCAGGGATGAAAATATGCATTGTATATTGCAATTTGTGTTCTATATGACGGTGTTGACCTTTACAACAAATGATCCAAATAATCTTAACCACTCAAATGCAAAGATAAATTGCACTGCAACTAATACATAGCTTGTGTTTAATCATTTAGTCAATCCTTCAAAGCAAAGATTGGCCATGCATAGTATAAGGGAACAATTTTTGATTGTGCACTGGTGTACTTGCTATTGATATGCGTTCCTGCTACCTGGTCTATAAATTAATTAATGCAACGTTTCAGTGCATTCAGTGTTAGATAAAACGTTTGATCTTTTCAAAGCTGGCAAGTGTACTGTTGCACCACTTCCAGAATAGTGGAAACTGACTGGCTATGTCCGTTTAGTAAGGGAAAGTGAGCATTAAAGTTGCAATGTGTAAGATCTTGCCAGAATTTGGGTTTTGTTAGTTTTGTCTATTGGATTATATCCAAAGTGGTAGAAACGAGAAAATGACTCGCACCCTTGCCTCATCCACCCCCACAGCCAGGAGACTACTGAGCAGGGAGTAGTGCGTGTGGCAGCTTTGGGAGATGGACACAGACCTATAGTTAGTAGTCAGCTTGAATTCAGAATTCAGAGTAAATCCCAGCTCCGGCGGTCTGATCTGATTATTTTGCCGGCTGAATCTGGGTCGTCACAGCGACCCAACTGAAGCTCTGGATGCATCGCACGCTCCGCTCCGCAGCAGTGCAGTCCCTCATAGGCGAGGACAATGAAATGAAACATAAGTCATTCCCTTATCTCTGCCACCCTGGACTCAAGCCAAGAAACAAACTATCTTTTCTTTTCTTCTTTTTTTTTGACCGATAACTGTACATGTACTGTATGGAGCCGGTAGTAGTGAAGTGCTGACCCCTATTTCTTTAGAGCAGGTGACCAGGCACATTTTTAAAGACAGTTTTGTCAATATACACAATCTTCAAAAAAGATGTAATCTGAAAAAAGTTTCTTCCTTAGTTTTTCAGGTAGCTGCTTGTTTCTTTTTCATCAGTTTCATAGCATTTCTTTATGCAGGACAGCTTTGAAGTTTATTTGGAGTTTTTTGTTCTTTAAATTCAGTCATAACATGTTCTTGTTTCCCCTCCTCCCCGTGGATTAATGTCATGTTGTGTGTTTTATCACTGGTTGCTATGGATTGCCACAGTTTGAAGTCATCACTTTATTTTTTGCTGGGGCTTTCTGACATAGGGACAGACAACGTGTCTTAATTAAAATGATGAAATGCACCTGGACGACAGCTGGATGCTATTTAGAATCAACAAAGATGAAATAATTATGTACCTGAAGTTATTGCGCCCCTCTCTCATTTCTCCACCCTCTGTTCCCATGTACGCTCATTCTTCCTTCATCATTCTGTCTTTGTTTCTTTCCTTCATGCTTGCTCTGTTTCTTTGCTCTATTTGTAGGTGTCCTTGAAAAAACAGTGGAGGGTGAAGCCACTGCTCTCACCAAGGCTAAGACCCTTTACAAGTCCTGCACCAATGAGAGTGAGTCAACAGGCATCAGAATTCAACACAAACTAGTCATTTTTGTCTCTTCTATTGTCTTACAATTAACATTTGTCTTACAGTCATCGAAGGTTCTGTGTCTGATTTTGTTTATTGCACTGTCTATAATTAGAAACCTGTAATCGTTATCAATTATTAGTTTTAAAATAATTATTGTGTGTTCAGTTTTACAGTATTAATTGATCCAAATAAATACTTTCTCCCAAATATTTAGCTTTGAAGTGACATCAATAAACCCCTCAAATGTCCCCAAATAGGAATAGATTAATAAGGCTTGTTAACAAGTACAATATATGGACACGACGTCTTTTCTTTTTGCTGAATTTTGATTGGCATAAAATAAATGTTCCCATTACTATAAACAGATTTTTGCTTGTTTGTGTACGTTTCATGTAAGGTTTAATCGAGCTCAGAGGAGGGGCGCCTTTGCTCGACATGTTGCCTGATGTGTTTGACTGGCCCATAGCTGTGGAAAACTGGGAGACCGACTATGGTAGAGTATTGTTTTCCATTGTCACGCACAGAGGATGTTGTATACAGGCAATCCTTTTCTTTCTCACTTTTCCTTTCTTCTCCTTTACTCAGGTACAACATGGAAGCTGGAGAACGTCATCGCCAAGCTGAATGAGAAATATGGGACTCAACTCTTAGTTAACTTTTTTGTCGGCACCGATGACAGGGACTCCAATTCTCACATCATTCATGTAGGTGTGAAACTGTAGCAGAAAGCCCTTACCTCTCTCGCTCTCCATTGTATAGACCCACATCCGTACAAACACTCACACATCATGTCCATCCAGCTGGAAAATACCACCCCACCAATTTATTCCAATCTGATGTCTTTATCGCGATACATATGTATGTTTTCTTGTCTTCCTCTTTGCCAGTTTGACCAGCAGACAAGCCTCGGCCTCTTGTCCAGAGATTACTACGCTTGCACCGGACCCTACGCAGAGGTAGGCTTAAAGTGTACACACATGCACATGCACACTCTTGTAATATAATTAAGGATTTCAACCGATGCACGATGATAACAGCTAAAAGTGTTAATTTGGGCCAGTGTCACTGAGTCGGGGTTCTATGTCCCCATGAGTTTGTTACAGTAAACCTGATGCCCAAAAAATGGTGAGGGCATCAGTTAAAAACATAACTACCTGACATGACCTTGTGTTTATTTCTACACTTGCATGCATTCATGAGCAGGTGTGTATGGATAAATAAAAATGTGCTCTGAGGCAGCAAGTGATGATTGAAGTCAAAAATGGGCATGTGTGTGTCTCAATCCAGACGAGATGTGTGCAATTGGGCAAACATTCTCTGCTCTGGTCATTGGTTAAATTCAAACTACTAACCTCCTGTCCTTCCTGTTAAAGTAAATTCAAGATATGATTATCATGAATGAGTGTGTGTTTGACAGGCATGTCAGGCCTATGAGGAGTTCATGGTTGACCTGGCAAAGCTGATTCGCTCAGACCGGAAATTGACCATCAATGAAACCCGCATCAGAGAAGAGGTGACACGAGTAATGGACCTGGAGAGGGACATCGCCAATGTAAGCATGCATTCACTCTTTTTCCCAGCAGAAGTAATGCATACCTTATCTTCTATCTGAGCTTCACACAACAGGAGGATTTTGAGAGCAAACGGCTTCTGACAGAATGACCTTCCAGCGAGAGGTTTGTAGCCCAAACCTCTCGCTCCTGCGTGTGTTTGTGGTCTGGAGCAGCTGCTGTGTAAAACAAGCCGTTAACCAGCTTGATCTACACAACAACTTTTCACACCAACAGGTTTCCACACTCCACGTTTGTCATTCTGCGCTGGTTCTGTGCTCTGCTCACTGCCACGCTTTACTTACCCTGTGCTCGGCTGCTGGCTTTTACAAGGCACTCGCACCGTTCAAGCCCTGACATTTACAGACCTGAAGCCTTCTGGGACTCCAAATATGTTTGTTGCTGCTGAACCTGCACTGCAATTGTACACGTGTCAGGAAACAGGAGAGTTATGTTGTGACAGCATTCTTGATTTTCTACCTCTCTGTCTTACTCACTCCAAGGCGACTGATTCTCCAGAGGACCGTAACAACCCAGTGTTGCTTTACAACAAGATGGAGCTAGGTGATCTGAACGCCAACTTCACCCTTGAGGTTGAATCCCAGGTAAAAATAGACTCCTTGTGTGTCAGAATTTGCTGTTTCTTCTTCACCTCCTATCCTCTTTTTAATGCTGTTTTTTCTTTTGTCTGTGCTTTTGGACTTGAAGGTATTTAATTGGAGTTACTTTACAGCAAAGATAATGGATACAGTCAACATCAGCGTTCCTGACACAGAGAAGGTCATAAACTACTCCCCCAACTATTACAGACGACTCAACCTCGTCTTGGCCAGATACAACAAGAGGTGTTTGTGTTTGTATGAGTCTGCAGTTGTGTTTGTGTATGATAGCCTGATTGTGGGGGCGGGAGTGCACTGCGATTGAAAACGGCACATTACTGATATATCGTAGCTTTGTGTGAGTAAGGCAGTTTCTTTTAACATCCCTCCTCTCCTCGCAGGGATCTGCAGAACTACGTGGTGTGGCGTTTTGCTATGAACATGGTGGTGGGCCTGAGCAGACCTTACAGGGACACCAGGAAAGCCTTCCGAAAGGTACACTGCCACTTCATCTTTCTGTAGATAGCCTCTATAAAAAGATTCTGCATATGATGCAATGGGACAAGATTTTGCAATCGTAAGCATTCTGGTTTCCGTTTGTGGTTGACCAATAACGTTTTGGCAGGCTTTGGTTCCATGCAGGTAAACAATCCATGTGGAGAGCAAAAGAGGCGGACCGAGGCAGCAGCTATCGTTTTACGATGATCTAGATTTTTATTGGCTTAAAAATGAGCTTGTAAACTGATTGTGACAACATTCCAGTCGGTTTATTTATTTATTTGTCTGGGAATGTCATTAGGATTGCAGGTATTTCGTGTTGAACCACAGTAGTGGGCAAAATCAAATTTTGATCTGCCGGTGGCGCTGGGTGAACAGTCATGGTATCACCAAAATCAGTAAGATTCATCTTCTGGGACCATGAATATCTTCATTAAAAAACTCCATGACAGTAGTGGAGCTATTTCAATCTGGATTGAAGTTGTGCTGACATTGCCGTCCCTAGAGCAATGCTGCTAGCATAAACTTGTCAGTGCCATGGTGAATAAAAGAAAAACTATGCAAAACTGTTTCTGAATTATTCTTTACTGTAGTTCCTTACTACAGTACTTATAGTATCAGCTAATATATACAGAATCAGTTGGGCTCTAATAAAATCTAGATTTTCCCTGCATTCATATTCTTCCTCCACATTTATAACTGAAAATGTCCCGTCCATCATGTTTCTTATATTCCTATAGTGTAATTGTGATGCTACATGAAGGTGCAAATGAAGAATTGTCGCAAGTCTCATCAACCAACACGCTGAGTGGTTTATGCTGCATCTCGATATTGATCGGTGCCTCGTAACTTTCCTTGCAGGCTTTGTCTGGTACAACGTCAGAGGCAGCAGTGTGGCGACAGTGTGCACTTTACGTCAACAACAACATGGACAATGCTGTGGGACGACTGTACGTGCAGGAGGCCTTCTCTGAAAAGAGCAAAGAACTGGTCAGTAAGGGGTGGATTATGCTGTAAAGATTCTGTGTAATACATTATCGAATGTTAGATTATTAATATTAATAGTGTTATTGACACTTGGAACTGCTACTGAATTATGGAAATTAATCTGTGTTTTTTTCAGTTATTGATAAATGCAGTTTTCGAACATAGGTTTGGATGTTAAGTGTGTTTTTGTGTCTTACTCATTTGTCACAATTGTATCAACCATAGTTCTGTATTTTCTGCTTGCACCCATTGAAAGCAGCTGAAGTTGTTCTTGTTTTCACCCCCACACCAGTGTGGCTGTGTCTCAGATTGTGTGTCAGATTGTGTGTCTCACATGCCGTAAATCTTCTGGACCTTTCCCCACTCCCGCATGTGGATTTCCCATTGCACCCCGAGTACATGTTTGTGTGTTTGTGTGTCGAAAGTGACACACAGCTCCGAGTACGTACCAACACCCATTTGCCCAAATACTTAGCCTTAGAGTGTAGGTGTGTCATTGTGCTGAGTTGACTTGCAGCTGGCACACATGCTGCACTCCTTACAAACCAACCTTTTCTCAGCCACAGAGATTCATTTCAGATATGATCATTAGTGGAATGTAACTTTTTACAGTACTTTTACACAATTACTGTACTTCTACTGCTAGATTGTAGAGTTACTTATACTCTACTGGAGTACTTACATTTATGCTACTTAATACTGATACTACCTCACGATGATTTAGAGGCAGACATTGCAAGATTTAGTCAATTAGCTATAGTTACTGCTGTAGTTCCTTTTTCTGATAAATATTTCACAAGCAAATGTCATCAGCCATCGGTTTTCCTATAAATAAAACAATTACTAACTAAAACAGTAAAATACTACCTACACATCATATATAAAATCTAAAATATAATATTTAATAATATAACACTCGCTTTTTTCAGCATGATGAGAACTTAAACTTGTAAAGGTTAGAATACATAATGACTGCTATTCATCAAATTGTGTCTATTATTTGGAGACAGAGTGAATTACATCGTTATCAATAGCAGTGGATTATTGCCCATAATAGAAAATCATCACATTTCAAACTATCATGATACATACAGCTTGACTAGGCTTACCATTGCATTATAAACCCTGCATTTGACCCATGTCATTTATATTATTGCAGTTCACATGCAAATATATGCACACATTTGCATGCAACCACAAGCATCTATGCATGCATACAGCACAAACCCATTTGTGCCCGCACACAGTGAAACACACACACACAGAAGAGGTGAAAAGGTTTTCAGAAAAGCCTCATCGGTATTGTCCCTGGTGGTTTGTGGCAAACCACAGTGTGTTGTCCGAGTGGTCATGGAGTGTGTAAGCAAGGGGTCTGCTGATGTGATGAGACACTGGAATGCCTCTGTCAGCTCGTTGCGATTTCAGAGAACAACTTCAAGGGATGTAGAAGTTCGAGCTGTCACTGTCACTGCAGTTTTTAGTTTCTTTCCCTTTCCTATTTGTCTTGGTTCAACAACGTTTTTGTGAAATATTCTAATTTTGTTTTTATTTGATATATTTTAGCTTGTTGCTCGCCGATGACCATGGTACAGTACATGGTTTGCACAGCATTATGCCATCATTGGTGGCGTCAGTCTGTCTCTCAGTATGCAGGCGCATTCTTGTAAATACTGTAACTCAAGAGCAATACATTATATAAACACTAAACATTGCACCGCAGGTTCCCTCTGAATTGAGCTTTGGATGTTGATTTTGGGGCACCTTACTGTGTGAATTTGCATATAAAGCTAGAAAATCTCACTATTGTGAGAACTCTTCACTCGTGTGAATATGTTACATGAAGACAAGTCATAAAGCTTTGGATTATTTCAGTAACACAAAATGCAACCCCAAACTGATACTATATTTAGACAACAAGTTGAGTCTTAAACGCTGTAGAAATGTCCCAAAACTTTTTTATTAGTATTTCATCTGCCCTATTATTCACATTATACATTACCACATGACCAGTAATAATACCCAGGTTCACCACACTTCTACTAAGAGGGATTCTAACCCAAAGTGTGTCTTCTGTACATTGATATGTGACTATATAATGATGAGGACCGCCTCAGGGAAGTTTATTTTTCGACTGTGTTGCACAATATGTTGCAAGATTTTGTGTGTGTGCTTTCCACTGGATCCTCATGGCAGATCTTATGAGGAAAAACTCCCACACTATACTGACAGTTGGTGTCTTTTCCTTACACACATTTGATTGTCAAATATCAGTGACCTATTTATGATTCCTCATTCTCTCTTTGTGTTTGTGTGTGTGTGTGTGTGGGCATCAGATGGAGGAGATGATAAAAGATATTCGGGAAGTGTTCATTAGTAACCTTGATGACCTGACCTGGATGGATGCAGAGACCAAGATAGCAGCTGAGGAGAAGGTATTGGCCATAATGAACTGTCTGTTGTATTGTACTCTATTTTATATGCGATGACTAAGAAGTTTGTTTATCAAATTGTCTCCTCTACTTTTCTGCAGGCCCGAGCTATTCGAGAACGGATCGGCTATTCTGACAACATCATGGATGACAAATATCTTAACAATGAGTACAAAGATGTGAGTGTCTGAAAATATGTGATGGTGAATGTTTTTCTTCTTTCGCGGAATTAGTGTAACAGAATACAGAGTGGGTTCATCATGGCTGCGTATCAGCTCTGTGAAAACATCTCGGTAAATTCTTGGCTTTTATGCTTTTTTGCTGGAGAATGTATGACCGAGTGTTGATAGCTCTCATCGAGGCTAATCCTCCTGTTTCTCTGGGTGTGTGTTGGTGCTAGCTGGGGTACAGTACAGAGGAGTACTTTGAAAACATCCTGCAGAACCTGGAGTATGTGCAGAAGAAACGCCTGCGGAAACTCAGAGTCAAAGTCAACAAAGAGGAGTAAGAGCTAATTGATTGATAATTATGGGGGCAGGATTAAATCATTGCTCTGTAAACAGCCACATACAAGTTGCGTAGTAATTTAAAGAGGCAATGTTAAGTGTTTAAGTTCTTAAAAATACATGACTTATTTGCTTGTGGTCAACACACCATCTTGCATTTAGCACAGTGCATTCTCCCACACAAACTCCTACTCACACATACAGTTCAGCCTTCCACTAAGCACAGCAGCATTGCTAATATTAGCTCGCTGTTATTGATAACGGGTTAATTCGAATGTAAAATGTGAATCATGCTGAACTATAGTGCTCCGTACTCTATCATTCTTTAATTCCATCCTACCTGTTTTCTGCAGGTGGGTAACTGGAGCTGCTGTTGTCAACGCCTTCTACTCATCCAGCAAAAACCAAATAGGTATTTTTACATGTGCACATGCAAACGTACATTTGTGCAATTATTCAACATTCTACATTTTGTAAAGTTTCGTGAAGACATACCTATTTTGTTATTCCCTGGTGTCAGTTTTCCCTGCAGGTATCCTCCAGCCGCCTTTCTTCAGCAAAGGCCAGGCTAAATCTCTCAACTATGGTGGCATCGGCATGGTGATCGGTCACGAGATCACACATGGCTTTGATGACAATGGTATGATTTTCCACACTGTTGCTCTCTGTTTCTCCCAGAGGCAATGTTGGCAGATTAAAATACTTTGGAGAGAAATATTTCCCTTTCTGTAACTGGTACCACAGAAAACAGGTCTTTTGAAATGTCATTTCTTTGGGCTGCCTCAGATCATTTTCCACAGCATTCATTTTCATTGGGTTGTGTGAAGTTATTATGTTCAATGTCAGGGCTCTTTTATAATGATATCCACAACTGCAAGCCACCCACAAATCCAATGGCAATGGTGGTTGTGCTTAGAGAAGTGTCACAATCCTTTTTTTTTTTTGTCATGCATTTGGCTTCTTTCTTTTTTAGGTCGTAACTATGATAAGGATGGTGACCTGAAGGACTGGTGGACACCAGGGTCCACTAATAGGTTCCTCGACCTGTCGAAGTGCATCGTCAATCAGTATGGCAACTTTTCCTGGGACCTGGCTAATGGACTACATGTATGTCTTCATAGACAATCTCTCTCTCCTTCTTCTTTCCACAAGTTTTCATATAATATAAATTTACTCAAAAGGTATTCCCAAAACCTTGCTCACTGTCTCGTTTTTTTTTGCTTTCCTGTTACCTTTGCCAGCCTGTCCATTTCTATCTTCTCCCAGTTTTGCAGGCTCATCTCTTCTCTGCTTTAGGTGCCTTTAATATTCCGTGTTGACATATCAATCCCTCTCTCTCTCTTTTTTTCTCCTCCTCTGTCCTATTGCTTTGAACAATGGTTCATTTATCCGCTGGGACAATGATTTCTTGTATCTAAAAAAAGTGATATCTGTGATTTGCTGACATTACAGTAGAAAAATGGCCAGCTCCCTCTGTCCTTTTTCACTGCCTATCTATGTGTTTTCCCTCCTTATCTCTCCACTCTAGTTAAATGGTAACAACACCCTTGGGGAGAACATTGCTGACAATGGAGGGATACGGCAGGCATATCAGGTGATGAGCCTGAACACAAAGGGGGGAACTCAGTTTATAAGCCCTTGTTTAAAGATGACAGAGGATGGGATTCAATATGTGGCTTGTTTTTGTCTTCTGCTTGCTAACATAAATAGATCAAGAGATAGATTAATAGGTAATTTTGCCAGGTCACTGACAGGCTCATTAGCTATTATAAGCACAGCAATAAAGGACATTATGTTGCTGCTGATTTCATCAGTTTATACCGTGGGTGAACAGAGAAAGGGCATTCACAGATTAATATGCAAGACTTGAGATAATAATTCTTTAGATCAGCTATAATTTTATGTCGTATTTGTATTTCATTTATTTACATTAAAATTGTCAATTTGAGGCAGTGGAGATTTAATTTCATTTATGAGTAACACAATTTCAAACAGGCAACATGTCAGTATTTTATTATTACAGTTTCACGCTGGCTTTCTATTACACAAAGTGACATGACAATAATTCAAATGCTGGAAATATAGATTATTATTAGATGCTGCAGCAACTTTCAAAATATCACAATAAACCAATTGCAAGTGAGTTAACCAGGCTATTTCCAAAACAACACAGTTGTATTTTTAGCCCAGTATATGAACTGTATAAGAAGTACACAGGAAGTATCCACAGAAATATAACACGTTGATGAAGACAGCAGAATAACAACCAAAATTGGAACAATTGATATAAAATGTCTCATATTAATACTGCAGGCCTATAAAAACTATGTGGAGGAGCATGGAAAGGAGCCATCACTGCCCGGCATTGACCTCTCCCACAATCAACTCTTTTTCCTAAACTTTGCTCAGGTACTTTATGGATGTATGGTTTGGATTGATTGATTACTTGACTGATTAATTTGCTTGATGACTGATATATGGATGGAAGATTGTAAATAGTGCAGTATATTGTAAATGACATTGGTCTAATCAAGTATGATCCTAATCTCTGTTATTCAGGTGTGGTGTGGAACTCATCGACCAGAGCAAGCTGTTAATTCCATTAAAGTAGATGTCCACAGTCCGGGGAAATTCAGGTAAGTTAAAACAAATCGTTTATTTCTATGCCATGTGAGGCAAAGGGCAGGAAACAAATTACAGTAGTAGCTAACATTTTAAAACCTTGACAAAGAATTATTAAAAAAAATAATAATAATTAAATTTCAAGTAAGCTTCAAATACAGCAACTTAAACCCCAACCAACAATCTCCTCTGTGTGTGTTACAGAGTACTGGGCTCCCTTCAGAATTTCCCAGAATTTGCCAAAGCATTCAACTGCAACAAGAGCAGCTACATGGTCCCTGACAACATTTGCCGTGTGTGGTGATCCACAGACGTTTGGGATGGGGACAGTTCTGACACGGGTCATCCCTGTCCCACTGTACCTCACCCCTCTGACTGTTGGAGCACTCATAGGGGCTACAGGGAAGTGGAAAAGCTCCCCTTAGCGCTTTACTGGATGGACCAGGGCTGGTGGACTGACACTGCAGTATGCACTTCCTCCGAGCAGTGGACTGTACCCTCACAGACAAGCGGAGCACTGTCTCTTTGACTCTGATACTGTAGTTCATTCAATCAGCCTGATTATTCTGCTACTCAATGGATACAATCACTCCTTGTCTGTGTGTTTTTTCTCTCTCTCCATTTTGATCTTGTTTTACTCATCATTTGTGAGTCTGCCAATGTGAGTGTGATTCAGTCAAAATACTGTACTTGTCAAGAGAGGGACGGACAGACAAATGTGCTCAAATCCGCTGGCATATGAATACACCACCCACCCACTCACACTCATACACATCTAACAGGGCTGAACCACTGTGCTGTATGTGGGACTAAGCTGTATGCCTCTCATAAAACCTCAGCTGGTTTCAGCCTTCACCTACATGCTGGTACGCTCTACAATGCATCCATAATATACTCTTTGTTAATTTGTATAACCAGATTAGATCAATTATTCCAGATAATCTGAATTTGCTGAATAGACCAGTAAGTATTTAACCCTAATCATATATTAAACAATACTCTTCTATATTTAATGATGATGACTTAACTGCAGTTGAAAGGCAGCCATATGTCAAATAAGCCAAATTAAAATTGTTACCTTTAATATGACAGGTGGTCATGAATCATTGAGCTGACAATCGACACCGGACCCTTTTTATACGTTCACTGAGCCTCCTGTGTGTTTCTGCGTGGATGTATGTCTCAATGTGTTTTCCAGTCTTTTTAAGTCATTATGATCGCTGCCTACTGTTTGTCAAGCAAATCGGTATGCCTTACATGATCTGCTGTGCTGCTGTGTCTGAGAGTGCGTTTGTGCAGGAGAACAAAGAATAAGACGGTGTATCATTAAAGCAATAGTTTGACCTTTTAACAAATAGGCTTCTTTTCTTGCAGAGAGTTAGATGACAATATCGCTACCACTCTCATGTCTTTCCTCTACAGCCAGCAGACTGTTAACCGCTCTGTCCAAAGGTAAAATAAAAATGTCTGCCAGCAGCTCTGAAGCTCACTAATAACCACGTTACTTCTCGTTTGTTTAATTATCACAAAAAACAAAGTGTAAAAACAATACATTGTGGTTTACAGGGCGTTATGTGCCGGACTGTTTCCTGGCTGGGAGCAGTGACCTCCTAAAGTCTCCGCCAGCTTCCTGGCAACCTGATGGTGCTGACAAATCTGAAGACTTTGAGTCTTTACCCTTCCATTTCTCTGTGGATCAAACAAACCAACATAATGTTAATTGATTAGCTTTGAATGTTTGAATTGATTTGGTCTTACCATTGGAGAGAGCCAAGCTAGCAGTTTCCCCTGCTTCCAGTCTTTATGCTAAGCTAACCATCTCTGTAACTTTATATTTATGAGAAAGATATGAGTGGTATCAATATTCTCAACTTACTCTAGGCAAAAAAAGTGAATATGTGTAATTCACAAAATGTTGAACTATTGAAGAAAGGTGTAGCGATATCTCAGTTTGATTTTGGTTTAATCACATGAAGAGTGTCGTGTGACAAATCTTTCTTTTCTTTCTTTAAGACTTTGAAGCAAAAGTCAATTGACTGACGATAATATGATTAAGCTTTCGAGGGATTTATCTCTTTTAAACTGCGGGCTGAGTCTTTGCTGGAACCTAATGGAATTTTCAACAGTGCATGCATTTTTCCAAATGCAGAAGGTTGTATCAAGTTAGTGGATCACAGTTTAGCATTCGTGGTTTTGTATGGCTTCATTTTCAAAGTGTAACTGAGGCTGGTATCAATTTTGGAAATTTTAGCCTTTTGCCTTTTCTATTGAAATTAATGAATGCTGCGCCATGATCACGTAGACCACTTCTTCAGACAGTATACAACACCCTTTATCTCCAGCCTTGTGTTGTTTCCTCATGTTTTCATTGTATGTGCAATCTTTCTGTCCTTGTCACCGCCGCTCACTCCCTCAGGCTTTCTTTCTTTCTGCCTCTCTCTCTCTCTGTCACACTCCACCTGTAGAAAGACAGATATACCTCAGTTGCCTGTATTTAGATACTTTATAACAATGACTGATAATCATCTTGAGGAGCATTCTTTTTCTTTCAAAATAAATATTTAAATAACACGCTGAGGCTGCAGGTGAAGGTTTATCTATGTATTTGTGTGTATATGTGTTGTTTTAGCATTTGAATCTGGCACCGATATGAATGTAATCTAAAATCTGAGACATGTTGAGAAACATTCCTTCAATGTCAGACTTAAATTATACACGGCATAACAGTGTGAGTGCACATAATATCTTGGCTCTGCTGACTTGACATATTTTTGGTCTGGACTTAAAAGACTTCATATATAGAAATTGTCTGGAAATGTTTTACATCAAAGCAGAAGTTCTTTACCTATAGTGGTGCTTGTGAACAGGTTCAACTATAGAGAGACATTCCTACATTCTGCTGCACTCATATGGTATTAACTGACTTCAGGGGAGTATTATGAATATGAGGGTTTAGTTTAATTTTGTAATTTCCACAGAGACAGGAAGAAAAAAAAATCGATATGTAAATTTAAATGCAGCATTAGCCCAAACTCTTTCCTCACTACAAACAAATGAGCAATATCTTTACGGCTGCTCCCAAGCTGCCGACTGGTAAATATACCCCATGCTGCAATGAACCAGGAAGTGTATATCCTGGCATGGGGAAGGCTTGTACCTAGGCTGAAACTGGAGAGGAAGTCAGCGATGTATAGTGAATAACAAAACAAAATGAAAAAAAGAGAATACAAGGCAGGGGGGCCAAGTTGGAGCACCAGAAATATGACCAAACTTTGAGGCCGATGGGGGAGTGCAGGATGGGCCAAAACCAACACACGTGTGCAAATACACTTAAGTTAAGTTGGGAAGTTAATGACCTTTATTTTATTTATTTGTTCATTTAAAAAGAAAACATTCTTACACCAATATTTTTAATAATTCCAACCAATTTGTGACCATTTGAGTTGTTTAAACAAGTTGAGTTGTCTCAACAACTCAAATGAGAATACACTACCTCTGATTGGTGGAGCAGAACAAGAGCATTTTTGGGGTTTTACTTCACATTTCACAACATGTCATGATGGCCAAAAAGACCAACATGGTAGTGTCAAATAGGCTGGCTTAAACAATCGACTACGGAGTGCATTTCTTAAACCTTTTCCAAATGTTAATTTGGTTATTCTTTATCATATGTACGTACGGTAAGTATAAAAACAAGCCTGTGCTATTGTGTGACTCTCTGAGACTCATTCAAGTATTGATTTCAGCTGAATATCAGTTGCAACTGCTTATTTACGTCTTGGCGTCCCGTTTCACCCTCAGTGGCTGGAACAACTTTGACAACTGAAGGTTCACACCACCCACTTTCCTCGTGCTCTCACCCTCCCTGTCATTAGCAGCAAAGCTCGCTAACATCACAGCTAACATTACAACACCTCAGCATGTTCCTGGGAGGCAGAACAGAGTGTTTTGCACTTTGTACACCATAGGCGGCTGAGGTTTTGCCCTGAAGTAACACAGAGCATGGGGGATGTTTGTAACTTTTAATCTTAAAAATCTGTTGCCCTTTGGTTATAAAACCACTCAGTTTTCCTTCATGTGCCCTTTAGGCGACCCTAGCAGTGGGTCCAGTGGTATGTGTGTGTGTGTGTGTGTGTGTGGCAGTGTGTGGTGTCCGAGGTGTATGAAAGGGGGAGTACAGCACAATTACATGCATATGTGTGCACACACACCACATGCACGCCTTTAAAAACACGTGCACAAAAGTACACATGTACGTTTACACATATACATGTGCAAAGTTTTTCGGGTAATTAGAGTGGGCACTGTGCTATCGCACACTTTATTTAAAAGGGGCTCTTATTGTGAAGTGCACTCTCATTGTGCTCTCATTGTTAACAGCCACTGATCATCAATTCTGAGGCTGAATTTTCTATAAAAGCTTTTAATTGCCAAGGCTTTAATTCCAACTCTTTCAGGCACTGGTATTAAAGAAAAAGAACAATTCTTTCCCGTGCCCAAATAAAAAGTCTCATTGTATTTGGTGCTCTTGATTTAATACTAAACAAAAGGACTTCTATTTAAAAACATGTTGCAGTTACTTAGTGAGTGTGCTGGCAGCAAAAGTAAACAGTACACAGTCTTTTTTGAATCGTGTTAAAAATATATGTATTTGAAATAAGAGACACATTGTACACCGAGTGGTTTGCCTGTCAGATGTGACATAATCTGCATTGCAAATGTTGATACAACTACAAGCAGCACAGTGAGCTTCAAATAATCAATATGTACACGATATGTATCACCTGTGAAAGAAATGCCTATTCAAAATATAAATATTACAGTCATGACTAATGATGAACACTCTCATAATTGTTTTATTAATGGCCAACTTGTATCCATCAATTGGTAGCGAAAATCTATAAACAACAAGTTTCACTTGATATCCCAGAATACACAGTGTATCTCCTGTTTCAGCTGTCACATGCTCACTCCATAATTAATGTACGACAGTGACATCCTGTGGTTGTTCAACAGATCAGTGTCGTTCAGCTGAGCCTGTAGTGACTGACTCAAGAGTAGTAACAAGGTTTGCTTAAAGCCAGCATTGACTTTCTTTACAACAATACATATCATTGTGTTCCTTCAAATGGCAAATACAAGCGATCTGTCGATTTCTGCATTGAATCTTATTTCTTCTTCACAGGTTAAGCTGCATGTTGGCTTTTTCTAATGTACTTCAAGACACAAGTACTGACAGCTCACTGACGCCATTCATAATTTAGCAATCTGGGGCCATTCATGCTTTTCTCCTCAGGTTTTGACCAGGCTACAGCAATGCACTTACCTTTTCACATTTATCCCATCCCCCACAAAAAGAGCATTAATCCCTCAAATCCAGGCGAGTACAGCTTTTATGTCAGGATTTTGAAGTTGTTTCAAACCAGAGAATAGCTTCAATGAATCAAACACATTTGTTGAGAAATCCAATCTCGGTAAAGGGTATTGTACAGTTACTGAGACTGCAGCCATTGAAGTAACCATTGATCGCCTGTTAGATGCAGACAGGTGAAGGATAAGTTTCATTACTTTTACATCGTAGCGCAGTCATTGACACTGTGTAGACTATGCAATTCAGACTATCCGCTTCAAGTTCGGGACTGACATGAAGATCACAGCACTTAATTGGTTCAGCTGAAGGAACACATTTTCCGTCACAATCGGAAATGCCACATCTTTTTTGACATGCAGTACTCTGTCAGGCTACTTTAGGTCACAGTCTTCATCTGGCTAACCATTTCAATGCTCTTGCTAGGCCAAATAATCCATAAGCACAGTACATAAGATTGGCATTTTATGTTGTTACAGACTGTTGATACCCAGATACAGCTGACGAGGCACTCTCAAAGACGATCAAAGGAAGGCATAAATAAATAAATAATGTGGCTTTTAGAGAGACATGCAATCTTTCTTCTCCAACTTTTAATTGTCTGAAGAAAGCCTTTTGTAATTGAATCTCCTGGCATCTGGACTGGCTGTAATGCTAACATCACAATGTACAGTAGCTGCCGTGTAGTTGCACAACAACATCACTTCACTCAAATTGCGTTTTTTTGGCATCTGGATTAATTTTAAGGTTTCAATGATCTCTTTTAAAGCACAGTTGGATCTGTCCTAAAGCTACTGGTATAACCAACTTGAGAATTTCTAATGAGTCAGGAAGGAGCATCACATCCACATGCAAGGCCCTCTTTGCAGTCCCAACAGGTTTAGGACCAAAGGAAACCTGGCCTCTCCCAGGAAACTCCCCTTGGATTTTTATCGACCTGCCGTGGGCCGGGTTTTTGCAAGGCCATGTCAAAAAACACCACTATTACCACTACACTATACCTGTTACCAATAATGCTACAACTATTAGAATATGAACGAAAACAATAGTATATTTTTATAGCACATATTTTATTAAATGTCCATGATCAAAACAATTTAACAAGCTGTAATTGTGTACAAATTACATTTATAATTATTACTACCATTAATTTTGTTGTTATTGTTTTGCTATTGTTGATGTTAACAGATTGAACATGTTTACAGCCTGAACAAGTCTACCAGTTACAACAGCAACCCGATGCTTCATAATCACTTGAAGTTGCGTGTGTGCAGGCTTCATTGTGCATGTGTTTAAGTGAGAGCGATTGTATGTGTTAACATGCCTGCATGAAACTATGTGTGCAAGTTTAGGTTCACATGTGTTTCTGCTAAACCCTGTCATATTGCTGTGGTTCAGAAAGTTTCCATCTCCACCTCATAACACTGTCGAACTGATGTTTGCATCTGGTGCACATGTTCAAGTATAATGCCAAGTATACGTGATTATTTGGCCTGTGCAGGTTTATACGGCTTACATCTCCTGCTTACTGGGAAGTGGATGTGACACAACCTGCAGTAACGACCAGACAATCTAATTCCCTGTTATTAAATGGAGACTTGAAAAATGCTCTTTAAAGCTGACCACGCTACTATAACAGATTTGGAAGCTCAGTTGTAATGACAGGTTATGAGCTCACATGTCACATGTCAAAACATAAATTGCTTTGAGCTGAAATCCAAGTGTTAAGCTTAATTCAGTTTTAATCTTGAGTTCTGTAGTGTGTCAAAAGTAAATCAGTTCATCAAGTGCTTACATTTGATGAAACTAATTATGAGCAAAAAGTCCCCCAAAGGCCGTCTCTGCACATAACAATTAAAGGTGTTTACGAAAGTGCAGCTCCCCACCCAATTTTCTTTCCGTTGTTTTTCTCTCCTATGAGAGTGTGGGACTCCTCAAAATACATAAATAAATAGACTTGTGGTAGCCATGGCAACGGCATTGCCAGTCCTAACACCCAATAGTTTTGATGCCCAGCAGTGTGACATGAATACACAGGAGAGACAGAAATGCAAACATGCACACACACACAACCAGGTATGTCCATTCATCATTTTACTTGCCCTTTGTTACAAAACACTATCTGTTTTTTTTTGTACTTTATCTCTAAAAGGCTCAGTGCAGCAGCCTGAATGCACAAAAACTGAAATGTATCACATCTGAC